TAAATGTCATAAACATTGGTAAATCACCAACTTTTTTTAGAATAAAGGGAAACGGAGGAGTTTTTTATATTTTGCTTATTAGTCATTATTTTGATAAACAGCTTTTTGGCTACGCCCAAAATTTATTACTGTCGCCTTCTGACTGTTCATTTACAAAAAATATAAAGGTAAAAGTTAGTTAGCCAATATTTTTCGTTTATCAAACTGGCGTCTTTATTTTTTCATTTAATTTTTGTTTGCATTTTGTCTAAAATGTACAAAAGACCCTCACGCACTATTTAATTATTTTTCTGAGCTGAACAGGCCGTGAGGTGCGGTAGTGGCGTATATATTCGATAACGACAAACAACCCATACTACTCAATAGTGCTATAGGCGCTGGAATAAATGCAGCGAAATCTACACTTAAACCACGGCTTTGTTTCAGCAGGGCACGGGGGAAGCGGTGTGTTGTGCGGGTGCGCAAAGGAGCGCATGAAACACCAACGGTTTACCCAGATTAAATAATAATTCAGCGGTAGCGTATTTAAGAACTTAGAGAGCTTATTATTATTAAAGCTGAAAATGTTTTAATTTTTTTAACGTTAAAACTGTTTCCTACCGTTCAACATTTTCCTCTGCGCCTTATAACGGTCCATTAAAAAAAAATAACAAATTGAGCAGTCATTTGCGCTCATGACACTGTGGTAAAACTCTTTCACCCTAGTGATATATGAAAAGTCAAACGGGGAGTAAACAGAAAAAGAAAACTCAGAGGGCCAATATTTTTCGTTTATCAAACAGGCGTCACGCAACGTATCGATATGTCCGAATTTAGCAGCTTGTCAAGGGTCATATTCAAATGACCACGTTGCCGAAACATACGGAAAATTCTGCATTTGCCTATTTTTAAAACTGGCGAGTTTTTCCTCGGGACGTTTTGCAAACACGAGTGGCTTGCATCTTCAGAGGTGGTTTGTTCGACACCGTAACCAGCCAGTTTCTCACAAATGTTGTGTAAAACTGGTCACTGGACGTAAAAACACCAAAACTACTTATAATTTCTTCTTTTCGGTTCATCTCCCAGACATTTTTCGCTTATTATCATTCTTGGTCATCGTTTCCTGGTCTTCCAAACCATTCTTCTACAGTGTCTCTATTGATCCCCAAACTTTCACCATCATCAATCTAAAGCTGATTCCTTTCATCAGCATTTCCGTTACTGATCGTGGTGCTTGAACAATTTTTCGGTGGATTATTCCGAAATTGATGTCTTCACTTGTGTTTTTTGCTCGGCCATCCACCGACAACACTGCATTGGGAACAGTTTTATCTAATTAATTTTACAACGACCCCCTGGTATTGGTCGCCATATTTATAGATGTCCGTTAGATTATCTTACACGAAATCTCCAAATGGTAAAAATTGGAGTCCGCGACCGCAACTGACGGGAATTAACACCGACCAGATATTGGAGGGCGATAAGAGCGGACCTACTTTATATTCTGATGTATATTCACCGTATTTTCGATCAGTCCGGCTAACGGGGTTGGTTTCACTTCCTTTTGTTCTCTTTGTCCATGGTCTTAATTGGCGAAATTTTAACTGAAAAAATCAGCTCAAATTATTCTATTTAGAACAATGATACATTTTCCAAAAATTGTAATATTTCTGAAAAGAATTGCAGAAAACGAAAACTTGTTTAAGATATGTTTCCAATGGATTTAATAAAAAACTTCTGAATGACGCGGAAAATGAAAAAATCTGTTGGCTGGCTTCCAATACTGGTTTCTACTCGGGTGAACTCGGCTTGCATACAAACAGCAGCAATTCGAACACACACACATTAAAGTGAAATTTGTCAGTAATTGAAGGAGCAACAGAAAAATTATTTCCTGAAGTTGGTTCTCCCCAGAAAAACTTAAATAGTTTGATAAGTTCCGCCGCTGCAAATCGTATTGCACAATTTCAATACTTGCAACCCCTTTTTCTTTTCGCATTTTAAACAGGTAAGCATAATAACTCCCATACAAGTTCCTTTAAAGGGAACGTCTTTTTTCGAGAAGACGCATTTGCATATGGAGTGTCATTTACGGATTTCTGGTTTGATCTGATTGTGATTTAGAGCAACAGATGCGAAGTGAATAGGAATTATGGCCAATGGATTTAAAGAGATCGCTAAAGGTGCAAGATCATATGGATCATTGTGACAATAGCACTCTGAAAAAAAATTTTTGATGAAAAATATTAAATCATATTCTTATCCTTCCTGGGTTTCAGTCAAAGTGTGAAGTAAAAATTCTGAATATCGTTAATTTCATTACGTTTCGGCGAGACAACAACGCCATCATCAGATTTAAAATTTACACAAACTACAAACACCAATTCACAATTAAAACATGTTGTACAAAAACTATAATTTATAAAGAGTTAAAACATTCATTAGTTCTTGACGGAAGTAATCCTTCCTTTTAGCAAAACAAAAGGAGAGCAAAACATTTGAAAAGCTTACCTCATAATTGGTAAACATGACGTTCTTTTAGGTCTTTGCTGTCCTGAACCTTAAATTTGTTTGAATTATTTTCTATATTTGCGAAAATGGTATACATATTCTTCTGATGATGGCGCCGTTGTCTCGCCGAAACGTAATGAAATAAACGATATGCAAAATTTTTACTTCACACTTTGACTGAGACCCAGGAAGGATCAGGATATACTACTATAGATAATATACTATAATACTATATATAATAACAATTGCACCCAGTCAGGAAAATAAATCAAAAGAAAAGACAAATATTAAAATTTTATGTTTTATATCTATTGTCCGTTATTATGTGGTTCTTAACTAATGAGACAATAAATCAGTAAGTTTTATTCAAAATTGCGCAGAATACTTCTTTTATTTAAAGATCCAAATTGAGGCAAATATTCCAAAAAATATCAGAAATTGCAAAGTGAAATTTCTCGGAAACGGTGGAAGATATCGACTTGAACCAAATACATTTTTTTGCTTAGAAAATGTGCGACAAAAAAACGATATGTGAAAGCCCAAAAATGTATAAAGTCCAGCGCTCGCTAGAAACTAAGTAATAAGAACTTTATATTATTCAACCAAAAAACCCTCAAATATAAATTTGTTTGATAATAGTCAACCTGGTTAAGAATCTACTGAAAAAAAACCCAAATTTTTATTTTCACTTTGACACGCTGTATCTCGGAAACTATTAACTTTCGACTAAGACAAATTTGCCTGAAACGCACCATTTTTACCTAAACAATATATTGGTGAATTATTTCACATTATTCGAGCAAGATACAATACAATACCGCCCTGTATAACAAAGGCGAAATTTCAAGAATTATATATAAGTTTGTTAATAGTTTTTTATGTTTGTATGTTAAAGCCACCTTTCCTCATACAAGAACAAATGTGTATATAAAATATGATTAATGATAATGAGCCATTGCCGAATTTCTTAATTAATAGAAATCTCCTTAGAATGGACTGATAAATAGTCATTAGAGTTAATTAAAGTGGTTTTACCAAGAACTAATGCAAATTTATATTATAGAAAAATCGTCGATAAATTACCGTTCAACATAAAATACTTGTGTTTCCTTTGCGTCCCTGATTAGCAAATATCGAATAACTAATTAACTGTTAACTAATTCGAAAGGAAACTGTTTTAAATGGACGATAAATTAAGCGACTCAATTTATAATTTTTTCAATGTTTGATGGATTCAACAGATTAGTTTATATTTGAATATTTATATACATACCTATTTAGCATATTCGTCATGTGTTTCAGTAATCTTTTAAAGTCTAGATTAATTAAAATGCCTAAATACGCAATCAAATTTGTTGTTTCCTCCCAAATTCTATGATAAAAAAAAGTAATTTTCAGAATAGCTTATGACGCAAAACGTGCAAACCATTAAAATAAACGAATACGAAACCATGCCCAAACCCATATTGCGATTAATTCCCACATGTTTGAGAATATTATTCAAACCCCTTATCGGTAATATCATTCGGCAAACAGCGTTCCTACAAGTATTAATGGTCTCCATAAAAAAGGTGTCTCCAAACACCAATATCGCACATACAAACACATGTGTGACGGTTTTCTGGTCAACACGGGGATGGTAACTACATTTGGGAGTTTCTGCTAAAAGGAAATTATTACGTAAAAAAAACGTTTTACGACAAGAAGAAACAGAAGAGTTAGGATTTCTCTGTCTGCGTAAAACTTAAAGAAAAACTTTTAGAAAATTTTATCAGTCTCACAGGAGCTTAAAAAATCTGAAAGCTTTGACGAAAAAAGAAAAGACTGCAAATATAGGTATTTTGCGTAAAAATGCCAATTTTCTGTACAATTTTAGTAACAAAGTTAGTGTAAAGGAACAAAATGATATTGATGAATAAAACTCGCAATAATAAAGCATACTGGAAATTAATTAATTTCTAAACTAATAAAACCGAATCAGAAAATCAGCAATATTTAATTAACTGAGCGGCGCACTTACAGAAAAAAATGAAAAACCTGAAGAGTTCTGAAGAACTATATACAAAAAAATAATAATAATTAGCATAAGCTGTAGCAAACACGACTTAAACAATCGCTCATGATTTCCAACATTTTATAAAACTTTCTGTAGAATTGACAATTATTCGCATGTTTCGATAGATTGAAGCCCAAAACAGCTCATTCTAAAGCGAAAAACTCACAAGCTATTAGATGAGAAAAGAAAGCAATAAACTCTGGCCAAAAATTCCCATAAACCCGATCACTCTCACAGGGATTAGATATGGAAATGACCCGCAAAAACCCATCCATATAATAAATCACAAACAACCATAGTTCTAAACCCTTTTAGTCAAATAATATCATTCGACCCGTCGTTTTTTCCATTCAAGTAATGCCTTAAGCAAATACATTATTTAAATTTCGATCTGATCGAAATTCGCTCTCACATAATTTCGGTATGCAAATATCGGCACACAATACATCGATGATATTTTAAAGAGTTTAATGTCCTTCAGATGCAGTTTTGGCGGTATGCAAAAGAGGATGCAGGATGTGCGTAAAATGATCCAAGGCCGAGGCATAGTTCTTAGCTCTTTTCCACCCTAAGCGGTGGATCAGCCAGGTAGCAAAAGGGGACTTGAAGTGAAGCTTTGGGCTAAGAAGTCTTCTATCGTTCGGCTCTCTAATCGTTAATAGCAGACCTGGAAAGGAAGGAAATATTCAAGATTTTGGAAAAAACAAAAGTTGCAACTTGGTATGGGAGTGAAGTGCAATTGCTTATTTGTGGAAGCAGCTTTAGTCAAAATTGAATTTAACTAGTGAGCAAAAGGATACATTTTATAATATTTTTTAAGTGTTTGTTCATCACATCTTATTTCATTCATGTTCCCATTCAGGATTTAAGTAGTTCGAAAAACCGTTAATTTACTCACAATTGCAAAAGCATGTAAAATTTCCTCCATTATCTATGACAAGACAAAAATCCTCTGCAGCAGATTTATGTTACCTTTAGATGTGGGTTTAGATATCAAAAAAATATTTAGATTCCAATTCAGAGTTTCATCTAGTTCAGCTGAAAAATTGTAAAAGCCGCGAAATAAACTGCTGCTTCTCGGAAGTTTTGCTCCCAAAACTCCTGTGAAAATCTCATTGAAAATCTCCTCTTTTGCAATTTAGGATTCTAAACAATTATTGCAAGGAATTCTAAAATTTTTGTCTTTTACGTCTTCAAACTTAAATGCTCTAGATCAGTGCCCTCTTTGCCTCTTGCCCAATTCCACCCCTGTATCAATAATAAGTTCTCAGATAGAAACTCCCAATTAAATTTGCTTGTTTAACTTTCGCTCTGCTTACACCAGATTTTTCAATAGTAATATCTAATAACGGTCTATTTATTGCTCGAAATCATATTTTCGTTGTTTAAAATTAATTAGTTTCCTGTAAAAGCGAAAAAAATATTCGGAGGACATGAGGATAAACAACCGATACTACATTGCGACTCAAAAACGCAATAGACGCTGGAATAAATGCAGCAAAATCTGCATTTAAACAGCGGCTTTGTTTCAGCAGGACAAGGGGGTGGCGGAGAGTTGCGCGGGTGTTTCAAAGAGCGCATAGAGCACGAACGTGCGTAACAGATTAAATATTAATTTAGCGGCTGCGTCACTCAGTAGATTATTCTGCTGGTAGGCTTTATTTGAGGGCTTTGCACTTCTGTTGCTAAGTTTTACCAGTTATTTACAAGTCAGATGACAAGTATTTAGTATTTTATTGCCTTTTCGGGAATAAAAAATATTTTAATTGCTTTACATAATTTTTTTGTATACACATTTATTTTTTGTTTGATTTTCAACTTTCTCAACTCAACTATAAAACTTTGCCGCTCAACTTCTCTCTCAAATTCCATAATGTTGTTCGTTAGGTTTCAATTAGTTTGTGGCATGCTCAAATAGACTCCATTATTTTAGGCAAAAAACTACTAATTATAATAAAAAACCTAGAAGATGAAGAGGCAACAGATGATGAAGTGTTAAAATGTGGCCCAAAAATTATTTATTTAAGAATCTTCATAGTTTCTAAAGCTTACTAAAAAGAGAATGACTAATACATAGAATATGACAAATGGTTTAGACACCAAATTCAAATTTCCGTCTCAATTTCAACACTAAAAAATATGATGTACGTAAAATTCAAAATTATCAAACAATACGAACAGTAGGAAAATTGTAAACAAAAAACACAAAAAATACGAATTAAAAAATACAAATTAACTTTGTGCAAACGGAAAGACATCATCTTGTAGTTAGTTCGATAAAACAATCACTACGAATTAATTTCAAAACGCTAGAAAAACTATTTAGGCACCGAAAATGTTTTTAAAATCAGAAATCCGAACGAAAAATGAATCCTGCCGTTTATATTAAGAAGTAATGGACAGCTTTAAATACAACAGGAAGTCTAAAATTGCATCTCAGCATAAAACAGTTAAGAATATAAATAAATGTAATGAAGTGCACAATTAGTTTAAAAAACAAAGACTCGCAATATTGAAAAAACAATTGCTGAACATTCAAAAATTCAGCTCAAACATCCAGGAAAAATATTTAGGCACAGAAAAGTCGAGGAATTTCAAAGAAAAATTAATCTTGCAGGCAAAGTAATGGACAACCGTAAATGCAACAGATGGCCCATAAAATAAATATCTCCCAGCATCAAACAATTAAGAACATAAATAAATGTAATAAAAATCATAATATAATTAGCATAAACACAGGCTTATCCCAACCGAAAGGCAGTACACTTTAAAACTGTCGGTTAGAGAATTAATTCTGGGATAAAAAAAAAATAATAAAAAAATTTTTCACTCATCTTAGTTTACCTTTGTGATTGCAACTTGTATTTTATTATTACACTTTCTACCGAAAACAAGTAAACTTAAAATGGAAACCTCCAAACGTAAAATGGGCCAATGTAACGGACCATTACCCCTTAAAACAACAGAAAAAAACTAAACATAATGAAGCACAATCAACTCGCCCATCACTTTCTTATTAATAACGATATAATTGCCTTCAATTGTTTTAGTTCGCGCGCATCGCAAAAATCATACACAATAAATGTTGCTCAAAAACAATTGCCGCTAAACAATTGAAACTGCTAATTGTTGCTGGGGCTGCCAGTTCGAAATCAGTTTATCTGTTTTTAATGCGTTGTTGCTAAATATTCCGCCTACAGAAGTGGACTAGAATTTACACATTTCACTAAGGAAGTCAGAGAAATTGTCCTTTAAATAGACTTATTTGAGAAACTAATGCTTTTCGATGAGTCTAAATATTCTAAGAAAGATCTGGAATGCAAAATTTTTCAAGTTCGGCTCATTAAACTGAAAAAAATCGAAGTAAATCTAGAAGCCGGTTCTGTTGTTTCGACGTTATGGTTTGCGGGGATTTTTGCGTAATTTTTTTGAATTACATATTGTTAATAATTATTATTGTAGCCACTGTTCTAATGGCCGCTATTGTTTAAGTCGTGGGTAATCTCAGTCATACAAACGATCATTAAGCGATTTTCCATTTTGCAATCGCATCGAAAAATGTTGGTCAATGTGATCTACTGATTGCGGTAAACTGTGAATAGAGGAAATAATTTATAGTTTCAGCTGCATTTGGAATTAGAAATCTGCGCTACTTTGCAGGATTTTAAAGCAGAATCTAATAGCTGAAAGCAGCGTTCTTGGGGCTGATCACCTGCTCAAAATTATTTTGCATACAATTAAAAAAAATCGTTACAGAAAAATTAATCAGTCACCCAAATGCAGCCCACTTCCCACCAAACCAGTTTCAAATCGGGCGTTTTTTTTTCTCATGAACCGCTTCAATCAATCCATATTAGACATCACCTATCAGAGGCCCCATAATTAAACATTAAAAATACATCGTGACCCCCTAAATTAAAATACTCTCACATATCAACCCTCCTCCTTTATTTTATTATAATCCCATTGTAATTCGCGATATACTTGCATACATCTATGGAGCCCTCCACATTGACCCGATTTAGGTCTTGGCGAATATGAACCCTGATTAGCGACAAGCATTGTCAGAATATTAATAAAATGCAAGAACATGCAAATAGACCGGTTGGTAGGTAGCGCAAGTGATTAGAAATATCTTGAATCGAGGGGATTTCTTATGCGATATTGGAGATAGTAATTGTGCATAGGAGCGATCCAGATGGACGGTTGAAGGAAGTTTTAATTTGCGTATTGTATTTTTGCTGTATCAAAGAGCCGTAGGAAATTGAGCGATTTTAATGCAAATTTTTTAAATAGTTTTGAGTCAAGGTCTGATTAGTAATGAATGAATGAAAAATGGTTTGCATCTCTTTATTACTTATTGTGTATTGTGTATGTATCAATTTATTGTTTATTAGTTTTCAATTTTTCCATAGGTGTTTACTCGTGTATTAAGGGTCGGTCAAACACTTGAGGAAATAAGCAGTTTTGTTGACATTGCGGACAAAATGTGTGATGTAAAAAGTTTGTTTTTGTGTGAAAATCAGACGAATTTCTAACTAGTGTTTCACTTGGTAATTGTGGTTTTTATTGCTCTATTAAGTGAAGTGAAAAAAATCTTTGTAGCTCAAATGGTTGTTTTGATATGAGCAAAAAAGTGCCGTTATGTTTGGCAAAACCGCGTCAAACTAAAAGTGATGGTTAAAATTTGGCTCTTTTTGGGAAAACCCTCAATATTTGTTGCGCAATTTTTTTGTTGAGAGATTTATTATTTGGTTCTCTATCCAGTCGTGTAGAATTGAACGGGTTACTTACATATCTGTCTCAGATATGAGCAAAACGGTAGCATCAGGTTTAAACTAATTTATCTATAAACTAATATTATCTTAGGCCTAGATGCGTACAGTTCCAGTTTTGCGCTTCATGTGAAAACTGCCATTATTGTCTAACTAGTGTTCGATCTGGTGATTGAGGCTTTTCATTTTTTACTCAGTAATATTCGTATCAAAACGAGCGATTTGGCTCGAACGGTTCTTTCGGTATGGCAAACACTGTAAAACTGAAAAATAATGTTAAAAATTTTGCTTTTTTTGTGAAAACTTGCAATATCCTCCAAGCGTTTTTTCTTGTGTGATCTTCTTCATCCATTGGTGTAAAATTGAACGGATTACCTGCATTTGTTGCTCATATATGAGCAAAACGGTGTTTTCAAAAGTTATGGTTGAAATTATGCTTTTAACTTGTACCTAAATGTGTACTATTCAAGTTCGGGTACTTTATATGAAAACTTTCACTATTGTCTAAGCAACCAGTAACCCTCTATTCAGGGATACAGAAACGATCCTAGATTTTTTGATAATACGAAAAAACTGGCAAAGCCGCGTAAAACTCAAGTGATGTTTAAAATTTAGCATTTTTTGTGCCAAATCAAAATATTTTTCTCGCAAGTTTTTTATTAAAAAATGTCTTATTTAATTCTCCATCCAGTGGTGTAGAATTGAACGGGTTACATGAGCGAGTTTTTCAGATACTTATGAGCAAATTGGTGAAGCCATGTTTCAAATAATGGTCTTATCTTGGACCATTAAGTTATGTTTAAAACTTTTTTTAAAAATTGTCAACATTTTCTTCGCATTTTTTTTTTCAATTTGTTATTCTACTTTTCATCGCTTAGTCAAGATTTGAGCGGGAATTTGTTCCACAGAAATTAGCAAGGGACGGTTGGATGTTTCAAATGATGATCTTATTTTGGCCTGAAATGTGTACTATTTAAATTTCACTTTTTGTGTAAAAACTGCCGCTATTGCCTAACTTGTGTTTCACTTGGTACTTGAGTTTTTTAATTATTTGTACAGCTGAAATGGTTCTTTGGATATGAGCAAAAAAGTGGCGTCATGCCGATGACCCATTATTGGCAAGAACGCGTAGAACAAAAATGATGTTGATCTTTCCCATTTTGTTATGATTCTCTCATTCAAATTCACCCCTTGAGTGCCTAACTAGTGCTTCACTTAGCAAATAACAGTTTTAATTCTCTTTCGAATGGTAGAAAAACGAGCGTTGTACCTCATATGGATCTTCAGATATGATCAGAAATGTGGGGTCATAATCGAGGTCATTTTTCACAAAACCGCGTAAAACCAAAGGTGATGCAAAATTTCGCTCTTTTTGTGAAAACTAGCAATATTTTTGGCACAATTTGTTTGTTGAGAAATGTGTTATTTTATTCTCTACCGAGGGGTTTGAATTGAGCGGGTTTCCTCAAAACCTCGTTAAATTCAAAGTGGGATTTAAAAGTTCGCTCTTTTTGTGAAAATTAGTATCATTTTCCACTTGTTTTTTTTTTGAGAATGTGTTATTCTATTTTTCATCCCGTAGTGTAGATTCGGGCCGGTCATCTGAGTGTGTTCCGCATAATTTTATTTTGGTCTGCATCGTGTATCCTTAAAGTTTTACTTTTTGTGTTGAAACTGCTACAATTTCCTAACTAGTGGTTTCACTTCATGCTTGAGTTTTTCAATTCTTTATTCAACAGTGCGGAAATGAGGGTGGTAGCAGAAATAATTCTTTGGATATGGGCAAAAAAAAGGCGTCATCTTGGAGCCGATGGCTCATTTTTGCAAAAACTGTTGAACTTTGCCATTTTGTGCGAAAACCGCCTCATATTTTCCAAACGATGCATTAAATGCGTTATTTAATTGTACCTGCATTTTTTTATAAGATATGAGCAAAAAATGGCATGATGTTTGAAATGAAGGCGTTGTCTTGAACATAAATTTGTGGTATTCAAATTAGCTCTTTGAGTAAAAATCAACAATTTTGCCCAAATATTCCTTCACTTAGGGAATGGCATTTTTAATTATCCGTCGAATGCTAGAAAATTCACTGCTGTAGAGTGAATAGTTCTGTAGATATGCATAAAATGCTCATGCTGAAGCCGGTGACCAATTTTTGTTCCTTTAAAATGTTGCTCTTTGTGTGAAAACTGGCACATACTTTGCAGGCGATGTTAGACGAACTATTAACTATTTTTTAAGTTTCTCGTAGTCTTTGAATAAAATGTTGAATAGATCCTGCTTTAAAAAGACAAAACAGTCCAAAATTTGAATCTCTCAATGAGCAACTTGCATCTTCAGAGCTGCTCTCGGCGCAGCAACCACTTTATTTGAACTGTTAAAATCCAAATGTTTCCGCTTCCAATGACTTTTAAACCTATAAGCCATATAACGAAGAAGAAAAGACTGGTTAGAGTGACTTGCTTTGCCTCGTGTTATCAGTCTGAGGTGTTATCCATTCGCTTAAATGCAAAACATTTTTTATTATGTAATACATAGATGGATATAAAATATATTACAGCCAACTCTAACAAACCAAATTAAAAGATTTACATGTTAAGT